ACACTTTTGACTTTCTGAATTCCTGTCACAGTACGTACATGGAAGCTTTGCAAAATGTCTCTTTCTGTCATTCCAACAATGCTTGGATTACTGCAGGTTCTGTTCATTCATACTGAGGTTCTATGTAGATCCTGAAGAGACTCCTGTAGCTTTTTCTGTCTTGCAGTGTTGTCTGTGAGCATTAGCGTGTCTCTTCTCATTATTTAGCCACTAGTTCTTGCAAAAGTTGCTGTAATCTAGTTTATTTCCTTTGTTTCTGTGACATATTCCTCTGGAAAAAAAAGACTAAAACTAGTCAAAGACTTCAAAAGGATCTGGGTTTTTTAATATGGTTTGTGGAGTTTCTATCTTTGTTTTGGCTTTGGTGGTTTCTGAGTTTTTTGTGGTTTCATTTTTTTTTTTGCAGGGTGGGGGCAGATTGTTTTGTTTGGGTTATTTCTTTTTCCTACAAAAATAGTATAATGCTTTTATTAAAAATATTTTATTTACCAAGGGGGAGAGGAGGAAAAACAGACATCTAACCCCCTTGAATACAGAGAAAAAAATACTTACTATTATTGCTGATGTTCTAAAAGCACAACTACTTTCCTTAAAAGCCTAGTGTGCTGATAGCATAAAGTGCATTTAGAGATCTCATTTCTAGAATCTGCAGAGACTTCTCACTCACCAATAAAATGTTTTAAATTGCATTGATTAACATATAATTTCTAAAAGGTTTTGACAGTATCTTGAAGTTCATTATAATAAATCTGGTCTTATTTCTGGATGACCGTCAATCAAGGGCAGAAAGATATTTAGACTATTGCAGGCCTTGGGGCCCCTTCCTGTTTTACATATTCATCTTAAGATCATTCCTGAAGCAGTCTACAATTGATTTTATTTTATCAACAATACAAAAACATTTAAAATTTGTAATCGGAGTTCTTTAGAAAATCACTGAGAGCTGGACCCTCCAGAGATATGACCTAGATATAAGTCATAACATATGGTAGAATGAGATGATTTGTGAAGCTGTGTTTACTGAAGCTGAAAAAATAGGTAAAGAAGTGATGTGTATCCATGTGTCTGAGCCTCCTCTTTTCTTCCAAAATAGCCACGAAGGCGACAAGGGAATAATTGTACAACAAATGTGATGTTGTATAATCACCTTCCACCTGGATCCCTAACACTGGGGACTTCCTCGAAGGCAGGGACAGCAGAGTCCCATAAGATTAATGCAATGTGCATCAGCTGACAGATTCTTTGGTGCTGTACAGCTGTTCTGCATCAGATCTCCAGCAAAAGCTGAGTTAATTTAATTAAGTGAGTTCAGGCCCTATGTAAATTTAAACATATACAGAGAAGTGGTTTGGGTGGTCTGTAGACTCCATCTAGACCCCATTCTAGGAATAACTATGACTCTCTTAAGACAAGACTGTGGCTGTAACTGTGGGGGTGTGCAGAGGTCACACCCCCCTGTAGTCCCACCAAATGTCCTCAAATGTAACTGAGTTGATCTCTGTCCCAGTGTTGCATAGTTACAATTAATCTCTCCCTTTTGCTTGGACTCACTGACCAGCACCAATTATAATGAAACAAATTTATGGTAACAATTTTAATGTGTTTTTTTTTTTTCTAAAAGCCTGGCCCATGGGTTTTCAGTTGGGCACCGCTTGACAGTTACTGAAGCGATGCTGCTGGCTTATACTGCCCTCACACTGATTGATTTGACCAAAGTTGACACAATGGCCCAATTGAAAAGCTAATATATGCATTGAGGGCCACACAGACCAGTCCTTCAGACTGGAATGACATTCTGGCTACACATTTGGCCACAATCCACAGTGAACTGGTGGAAGACAAAATTGTTTTGATGAGATTGGAGTTCAATAAGAATTTGGAAGTTGATACGGATAATTCAGTTCATCCTTCCATCTGGTGGGAGGGCTTGGTCAGGCATCCCAAGGTACATGAGGTTCCCATCTCTAAACTTGCCATGGGAAGAAACATCACCCGTGGTGAGGGAGAGGGTGAGAGTAGCAAGGAAGAGCAGGACACTGTTGCCTACCTCCCCTACACTAGGGAGCAGCACAGATCTGGTATCAGAGGACAACAGTGGGGAAGGTCCTGGACTAAAGTCTATCATGTCCATGCTGTGGAAGCTCAAGTTCTTGGGCTAACTGATCATTTATAAAGATGCTAGGGGGTGGCATTTTGTTTCAATGTGCAAAATGTGGGGAAAACAATTAGAAAACATCACAGTGTCCCTGCCATTTCCCACAATGTAAAAGGGCTGCAGAAATGGCTCCCATTGAATAATGAACTTGTGAGGTGTAAGGGAAAAGCTTTAAAAGAAAAATTGGTGTGGGACAAGATAAAAAATTAGTGCAACCTGTTGTAATTAAGTAATTCTTGTTTTGATAAGAGTTTTATCTCCCAAAATTCTTTTCCATACTGAGTATAGAAAAAACACTGGTCATTCACAAGAGACAAATATAATGGTATCATAAATTGTTGCATTTCAGTAGAACTGATTATATCATTTGGGATATGTGTGACAGAGTTCTGTATTATAATGAACACTAATAGCAAAAGGATATTTTTCACATGCAACTCTTCAAATAGCATGATGCTCTTCTCTAAAGAAAAGTTGTCATAGTTTTGGAAGTGATTTTTCTCACTGAAAAACACAGTGCATGTGTTAATTTAATTAAACATGGTCCAGAAAATAAATAATATTACTTTCACAACATCATTAATAAACTAGTAAACAAATCACTTCATAACTAGGAAAACTGAAAAAAAATTAAATCATTATTAAAATTTTGCTTCAGGATGAAATCTATGTTTTCTCCTTATTCCTACTATCTGCCAGTTCTTTCTTTGAGAAATAGTTTGTTTAGAGGATTGGATTTAATAATAAAACCAAAATTAAAATCAAGAAAAATTTGTCTTGTGTTGGTTTTGGGTTAATGAGTAAATTTTCTTCACAGTAGCTTGCATGGGGTTATGTTTTGGATTTAAACATCTTAAACACTGGGTTGATAATATAGGCACATTTTTGTTATTGCTGAGCAGGGCTCACACAGAGCCAAGGTCATTTCTGCTTTTCATGCAGCCTCAGTGGCACAAATCTTGGGAGTGCACAGGAAACTGGGAGGAGACACAACTGTGCCAGGTTATCCCAGCTGACCAATGGGATATTCTAGACCATAAGGCATAATGTTTGGTACATAAAGTGAGGGAAAAATGAAGAAGGGGAGGGTATTTGGAGTGATGGCATTTTCCTGTCTAGGTCACCATCATGCACGATGGGACTCCTCTCTCCTGGCGATGGCTGAACACCTGCCTGCCCCATGTGAAGTAGTGAAAGAATTCCTTGTTTTGCTTTTTTGTATGTCCGTGTATTTTGCTTTCCCTGTTAAATTATCTAGATTTTACTCTTCTGATTCTCTCCCCACTCCCAATGGTGTGGGAGTGAATGAACCTCTGTGTGGGGCTTGGCTGTTGGATGGGATTAAAGCATGACACTTCTTTACTTGATGTTTAGGTTACATCTTGCAGTAATAGAGAGTAGTCTCGGCTGTTATTAAATGTATGTAAGGGTTTCACATTTTTGGGAAATGAAAAATAAATATTGATGTTTTATATCACTTTATTCATAGAACTGATGTGTGGAAACTCTTTTAAAAATATTCATACCATCAAATACTGTGTTTTTATTTAATCCTACAGGCACCCCAGAACTGGCTTAAATTTCAGTTCATAATGCTGTGTCCTATTAAGCTTAAAGTATATTGTAATAGGACACTGTTAATGAAGACGCTAAATATGCATTGTGCACTTACATGTGTTTGTTTTCTTTTATAATAGAGAGTGTGAACTAAAATATTTCCTTCCCAAAAAATCTTGTCTAACTATAGATTCTTGGTCTAAAATATAAGGTTTCATATCCTGAAGGTCCTGTGGGACAGATACATAAGAAAACACATATGTCTGACTAAATGTAATTTAAGTCTTAAAAACAGTTAAAATTAAATTTATTCACAACAGTGAAGTTGCTGGCTCTAATAGGAACATTTCACTCATGAAAGAAGTTTAAAAAATGGTGGTTTAGAAAGTGTGCTGGTAGATTCTTCTGCACCTGAATATGGGGCCAGATATATGCTCAAGTTAACGGATGTCAGGTTCATTTGTACAAGGATGTTTTACAGGCATTCCAATGACTCTGCCTAAATTTCCATTTACAATCTTTCTTTGTGTTGAAGTGGAAATTGAGACATCCAGAGACAAATTTATTCATAGCTATTTTCTTCTAGCAATCTAAAATCCAGACAATACATTCTCAGTAACAAGTAGTCCAGTTTCTACTGAAGAATTTGGGCTTGATTAGCTTTCAAAAATATATCTCAATTAGGCAAATTTTATGTTGCAGATGAGTCTCAAAGCTCAGTGGCATAAACCTATCTTCCACAGGTTCATAAGACACATGACTGAGCAATAAAAAATGGACAGAATAATTGCTAAGTTTCACAAATTACTTGAACTCAGCTAGAAAAATAAAACAAGCTAGCTGTGTGCAAAATTCATTTTTAAAAATGTGACTTCTAATTATTAGAAAGACCAACAAATCAAATCAAGTTGTAGCTTGTGCAATTAAAACTGGAAGAATCATGTAGTTTCTTCAAATTTAGGATGTAGATGCATAGTAAAAGAATGTATGGTCTTTGCACTCAAAAAAGAGGAAGATACTGAATATAAGACAAAAAGTGAGTTGACTAATAGAAACTCAGGTGAAGTAAAAAATATTACTTAGTTCAGCTTAGTAAAGAAATTTGGATTTTGCCATCTGAGAAGAATAGATTTAGTCAGAAGCTTTCTGACTTCTCTAGTTTGAGTAGTCTCACAACAAATTATTAATATGTGAAGGCTTAACAAATACAAAATGAAATATGTAATCTGGGTTAATCAATCATAATATATTCTAACATAAATTACTATGATTTTGTGGGGTTTTTTTAGATAGATGAGACCTGCAGTATTTTTCATATTTGGACCAGAGGAGAGCATCTATTTCAATTCTTTATGGAAAAAAAAGTAGTGAAAATTGGATTGTCATTTAATTAAAAAGCAAAGGAAAAACAACCTGAAAAGGAGATGACAAGGAATTTGAAAGGATCAGTTGGGTGGTATTTCACAAGAACAATTTTTAGCACAGGTTTGTTTAATATTTTTACCTAAAGGAGAAAGGACAAGATTTGCCTCAGAGAATTTGTGATGAAATTGAGTTGGAAAATGTTGTCTACAAAAAATAATTAACATATAAAGGAGGAACTAACCATTGGGATGACAGGAATTTTAAGATGCAATGCAATTGGTAAACATACAGGATTATATGCTTCAGGTTTATTAAGATAAACTTCTGTGACATCAATCTAGGAACTTATCTTTAGAAAAACAGATGAAAGTACTTTAGTGCTGCTTGTTGATTACAGAATCATTTCCAGCTGCTAACTTGATGTAGCTGTGAAAAATACAAAAAAAAAATCTTAGTAAAGCAGAACAGAGATTTTCATTGGAGGAAGGAAGATATTGATCTCACTATAAACTTATGCCAGCTTATTCTTGCAGAATGCATATACAATTCTTGTTACTGATGCTCATGAAAAGAGAACTCAGAATGGAGCAAGCATGGGAAGGCCAAGGAAGACACTCAGAAGCTTGACAGAAGGCTAAAGAATGTGACTTTTAAAATTCAGCTAAGGATGCTGAAAAGCTACCTGATCGTGTAATATCAAAGTTAATATCAAAAAGTCAGTATCAATGTTGTTAATATTGAGGAATTATTTTTAGGTATATGTGTAGGTAATCAGAAAAACTAAATGTAGTGGCTAACTCTTATCTATTACATGTGATACAGGGCTGAGAAATGCTAGGTAATGTATGCCTTGACAGATTATTCAGGGAAAAAAATAACCCAAAAGCCAACATGCAATTTAACTAAAGTGGATTAGGAGAAAAGTATTTACTTCTAGTTAGATCTATTTGGTGCTTAGCTACTACCAATTTACATCTAGTTCAAAAAACCATATTGAAACAGTGGGTAAGAAGTTAGGCTGAAACTCTTCATCTGTATTCCTGCACTGTGTAAATACCATTTGGAGCTCCACATATACAGACATCGCTATATAAAATAAATTGTAACATGTGTTATAAAGAAAGAAAAATTTGGCTTGTCACATTTGTATTCTGATCACTGAATAGTTATGTGACATTTCTAATAATTTTTCCATAATTTTGCCATTTTGCCAAAAATTTGCTCTGTTATTCTGGCCATATTACCACAGTGATGAAGCAAGAGTGACATTTCTGGTGTCCATTTTAGTTTGGGCTTGTGTACTTCAAGGTCCCTAAATATTAATTATTGAAAATGGCAGACCTTGCAGTAGAGTACAACAGCTCTTATGTGGTGACTATCACATCACAGAGAAGTAAAACTGGTGATGAAAAATTTAATCTGGAGTGAGATGAAAGTTCCTAATGATCAGTCAGATATTCAGGAACAGCTTGTTGGGACTGAGAGGAGACAAAAAACTTGCCATTTATGAGACAGAACTCAGTATGTTAATGAAAGGGATAGTGAGATGAAGTGTCTAGAATAGCAGGATACAATATCACCCTTTTTTTTTTTTTTCCTTTTTTTTTTTTTTTTTTTTGAATGAAAGGATTAATTGCTTACTGGTAAATGTAGTTTTTCATGCAGGCTTTTCTCTCACCTCCCTTTCACATACTGTTACATTAATCCTTATCATCCCTCATTAGACTAAGGCTACTTTTAATGCTTTATTCTTCTTCACTTTATATACCAGTAGTCCCTTCAGTTACCTTTCTGTCCTTTCTGAAGTCCTCATCTGCACTTCCCATTTGGAAAAAAAATTAACACTTCAAGCAGAAAAGCAAAGCTTTATAAATCAGATTTCCACAAATCTGCTGAATTCCATTTCAACATTGGAAATATGTTCAGAGAACACATCCAACTCTTTTCTCCTGAATAACAGTAATAGAAATACAGATCTAGTTGTTAGCAACTCTTTAAAATAAGTGTTTATATTATAGAAAATCTTTATTTCTAGCTGTAACACACTTCCAGCTTAGGAAGAAAATCTAGACCCTTGGACATCATTCATATTTCTGTATGATTTTATATGATTTTATAGTCCCCATTTTTGTTAAAAATATTTTATTTTGTTAAAAATATTTCCTTGTGCTAAAGATAATAAAAAATTTCAGTTAAAGAATTAAATAACATATTTTCTACATCTGGATGGACACCCTCAGCTTATCCCAAACTGAGCTCTGAATGTTTGGCTGGAGATTTTCATGTAGTGGACAGGAGGAAGCACAAAAATCTTATTAAACTCTTTTCATCAAAGGACTTTGAAGAATTCTTTAAGGAAAGAAAATATGCTGTTTAGACAGACTTTTTACAATATTTTTATCTGCGTACACATTCTGGTTTTCTTCTAAGAAAGATAATAAAATCAGTTAATCTGTTCTCAGCACTGAATAAGGTAGTTTGGTACTTTCCCACACAGAGAGCAAAATTGAAATTTTAGACTTTGGGCATTCTGTGACATTACTGATAAACCTTAAAATATATGCCTGTCAGCCTGTGTGACATGCATAATTTGTTCTTGAAAGGGGAAAACACCACATGTATCTTAACCAAATAACAGTGAGAAATACTTATGCTTGAAATCATTTTTAAGCTACTAGTGAAGCAAAAGAATTTCTCTTCCTATGAAAACTTGTTTGGGTTTTGTATTTATTTGTTTGTTTTCCAGAAAAAAAAAATAAAAAGAAGGAAGAGTAAATTTTTCAATCAACCTAATTTCCCACTAGGGAAGTCAATAAAGCTAAAGTTAATATTACAGATAGCTAGAGGACAGAGAAAGCCATATATAGAGATGGAACATAGTTCATAGATAAAACAAATAATCCAGGTTGTGGTAAAAGGTGACCTGGCTTTTTTATTAGATTTTTTAAGCCTCCTTATCTAAGCCTTTATGTAGTATACTTTTACATTTGTTTGCAGAGCTCTCTATCTTTTTTGGTTTTCTTCCTAGATTTTTCCCCTTGGCTTCACTCCTTTTTAAGTCCCTTTAAATCCACCTTAAAACAAATAGAAAAACATGTGAAGACTAAAGCAAGTTCAGGATATTTGAGGTTGGAATTAACTAATTCCTGGTTTATGTTCTCTGTTTTATTTACCATTAGTTACTTGAAATGAGAAATATTTTTTCCAGCACCAGGAGCTTTCCTCTAATGACTATGCAATACCTCAATTTTTTTTCTTGAAAGTAGAAAAAGGCAAAAGCAACAGGTACAACCCTATTTGTTCCTCTGGCCCTTAAACTGGGATTCCCAAAATTGCTACCTATAGAAATAGTTGTAATCAATCAATTTTAACTCTATTTTGATGCTTCAAATTGTTCCACATTTGAAACCTATTAGTCATATTTCAGAAAATATTCTCTGGATCAAATTCAAATGGAAAGTAGAAAGAAATCAATATTTTTTTACCTGCACAGAAAATTTCTCACTGTTCAAAGATCAAAAATGGAAGAGGGGATTGTCTGATCAGAATATATTTTTCACAGAAATCCTGTTGAAACTTTTGATTTTTTACATGATGTAGAAGCTTAGCAGCCCAATTCTCTCTCTGTTCTCCATGAAACAAGGCCAATATATTTGTATTACATAGCTTTTCCTCCTTTCCCTGGTTTCTTCCTTCATTTTTCTTTTCCTTATTTCAGGAGACACAAGAAACTAACATTCAAGTACTCATATATCAAACTGATGCTGCAATTTCTGCAGCATGTTTGCACAGCATTTACGATCTTTTCAGAGTTTAATCCAAAGTGTTACATTCTCAGGGAAGGGTGCTTTGAACCATGAAAGAAAGGTCTAGGTACTTGGAATGGCCAGGTGATTTGACTGCCTTCTTGAAATGGACAATCTACACCAATTGAAAAGTAAATGTGATCCATAGCCACCCTCTGAAAAAAAAAAAAAAAGTGCATAGTTTTGACTTCAATAAGTTTAGGCAACTAGAAGTTATGTGAGCGTACTGTGATTTTCTGCACTGGAAAAGTTCAGTGCAGCCCTCACATTGCTAATAACATTTCTGGTGGTTTCAGGGTATTTGATAGAACCAATGCAATCTCACTGAAATAACATTAATTAATTTGTGCATTAGTTGGTGTCTTTTTGTCAGAGATCTGTTATTATCTCTGGTGTTGGGCACCTGATATAATTAGGTACTAATGTACAGTAACTATAAAATTTAGGCTCGCATCAGTGTTATGGCAAACAAACCATAGTGAAATCCAAATTAGATCAAATGACTTAATTTTAAAAAATCAAACTAAAACAAAATAAACCCCAAAGCTCCAACAAAACAAGTTCTCACAGAAATGATAATTTCTGGGAAAAAAAAAATGGCACAGAGTAAGAGAGAATGTATAAGAAAAACCAAAAACCAACTATTCTTATTGGCTTGGAATTCAGCTCCTTTGTCGCTTTGAAATCCCAGCCACAATAAATGAATAATGCACAGTCCTTTTGAAATCCAGAATATCCAGACATTTCTAGTGCAGTGACATTATATTTGTGTGAAGGATACTCCTGAGAAGAGCTGAACCTCTGCTGAACACCTCTGTGTTACTTGTATTCATTTATGCTCTTGTGAACTATCTGAAATCTGTTTTACAGATAGAGAATATATCTTTTAAATAGTGCTTACAGAGAACAGAGATAAAAACCCCACAAAATCTCAATGCCATTCTGTGTCTAAATGTAGAATAACACAATCATTCAAAGTTATTTATTACATTATGTTTTTCTCAGCTTATATAGAAAGATTTATTGTATAAAGAGCAAAAGAAAAACGACATTATTTTTGTGGAAAAAATTATCCTAAAAATATGGCAATTGAAAAATCAAGACTTACTAATCTAGAAAGACTAGGACTTTCTTTACACCTGGTCTTTAAAGTTATAGAAACATTGGATTAAATAAAAATCAATATTGATTAAATAAATCCCATATTTATGTAGATTATTTAAAAGAGAAAAATTAATAATAATGTAGTTCAGCTTTCTCCTTGCAGTATAGATGGAGCTTTTAATCTATAGATCTATCCATATTTTAATGATAGAGTCATTAGCTGAGTTATTTCACTGATGTTCATAAGTGGCAACACTTTCCAAAATAATGTTGAGAACAGACAAATATCTGAGGAATAAGTGCACAAGTAAGCAACAATAGTCTCCATTTCAAAAGTGTAGATGATCAACCCAACAAACAAAAAATGTTAAAAAGAAGCCAGGCAAAGCAGCTTTCATCAGTCATGCATGAAAGAATATCTCAATTAGTTTAGTGTGGATTTTTGTTTGCCAGTTGTACAAAACTGTATGTGTTTCTGGAGAGCATTTGTTTTCCTGCTGAAGAGCCTTACTTCCCAAATTATAGACTCCAGAATCAGTGTTTTGGAAATTGTTAGATGGAGCAGAGACTGCAAGTTCATCAAAACTAAAGTATTTGCCGGAGACAGTTTAGTTTTGACAAAGTTCTGACAGAAAGGGGCAGGTTTCCAACAGTAATCCACAATGCTAGCTCACCCAACTGTCTTTTTTTGAAGGCTGTTGGTGGACTTCCAGGCTACCAACTCTTCAGGATCCACATGGCATGATGTGAGCTGCGAGTCCTGGCTGCCAGGTATCTCTGTCTAGCCAAGGCTTCGAGGCTCTTGGCTTTCTTTCAGCTCGCCTGGTGGAGAGTTGAGAACCTCCCCCAAACTTGCATTTCAAACTCCAAATACCCAGCTGCTCAGCAGACAAAGCTATGATAGGTTATGATCTGGGTCTACCTTTCCAGGTGTACACTCAAAAACTTTATAACTTCTAAGATCCTTAGCATCCCAGCCAGAGATTTCTGTACTGAGTTTGCATGGCCAGATTTTGATAGTAGGGGCATTACAGGGGTGGCTTCTGTGGGGAGGTGCCAGAAGCTTCCTACATGTTCAGCAGAGCCAATCTCCAGTATCTCCAAAAATGGCCATGCCTCTGGTCAAGGCAGGGTCAATTAGAAATGATGGTAAAGCCTCTGTGATAACATGTTTAAGAAGAAAATAAAAGTTATTGTGCAATGTAATAGTGGCCAGAGAGGAGTGGAGTGAGAACATGTGAGAGGAGGAAGTCTACAGATACCAAGGAGGGGGAGGATCTGAGATTCCTCTGCAGGCCGTGGTGAGGACTGTGGTGAAGCAGCTGTGCTCCTGCAGCCCATAGAGGACCATGGGCATACAGAGATCCCCCTGCAGCCCATGTAGCAGACTTGTGCCAGAGTAGGGGGATGCCCAAAAGAGGGCTGTGAAGCCATGGGAAACTCGTGTTCCATCAAGGGCCTGGAAAGGACATGCAGACCTGTAGAGAGAGGAGCCCGTTCTGGAGAAGGTGGATGTTTTAGACATCAGTGAACACCAAAGACATGAAACCACTTATTGTCACAGCTCAGTACTCCCAGAAATATCTTTCTGGATATCTTCCATTGTCTGCAAAATAAATTATAACTTTGACACAACTCTAAATTACACTGAAATATCAAGATTGTATTTATGGTTTTAAAGAAACCAGCTTCTCTAATCAACAGCATATTCTTGTGCTGTAAATTGGTTTTGCAGTGTCAGTTTTTGCCTTAATGATAAAAGACAAAGAAAAAAAAAGAAAAGAAATCAACTTGTGTAGTTTCATTAGAATCTTGACTATTCTTTTTACAAACTTAAATTAATACTCTCATTCTTCGGTGACTTCAGAGGAGTATTAATTATATGGTGATGACACAAAAGCTCCTCTAACTCAAATTTGTTTCATGGCTTTTTTCAATTAAAGAACTTACACTTTGTGAAAGCTACATCTGTCTGTTTAAGTAAAAAATAATTTGTTCCTCAAAGCTATACAACTGAAGAAGAAAAAGAGCCCCTCTGATCATTTCCAAATTAATCACTGGAAAAAAAAGTCAAAGGGAAAGAACAGGCAGGTTTTCTCAAGTTATGTATGTATGCAGATCTTTCATCTTGTACCTCATTCTACCACAATATAATCTAGTTTCTCAGAGAATACTTCCAATGTGCTCTCATTCTGTTCTTCAGCATACTATTAAGAAAAATCTTTATCAGGGCCTTCTTTTTCCCTATTTGACTCCTTTACTTCCTTTTACAATGTGATCTTAAATTATGAATGAAAATGGAATCCAAAACATACTTTTCAAAATAATATATTAACCCAACAGATTCAGATCTGTTAGAAAGCTTTCTTTTATTTTCTTTTCTTGATTTTGCATGGCTTTTTTTTACCTATAATTTCTTTTACTTTTTGAAGGTATTATAGTTTCAGGTTTTAGGAATGCCTTTTAGTTGGATTACTATTATTCATGTAACACTAGTGCCTTAAATATACCTAGTTCTCCTGAATAAGAAATGTTAAAACAGAAAACAGAGTGACAATAAAGTCCAGCTGTTTTTTGCTTATCTTGCATGGCAATATCACCATTTGGAAAACAATGAGACAGACCTCTTGCCTGGACTACCTCTAATGCTGCTGCCTTCCCTGAGAATTAGAGCAATGCTCATGTTCTCATTCATTTTTTTTCCACTTCATCTGTTTCCGCCTCTCACTTCTATCAGTAGGCTATGGTTAAAAAAATGCTTTGATCTGAGGAATTTTCAGCAAAGCTTTATTTTCTGTACAGTAGGAAGGGACATTGTGAGGAAGAGAGATATTTGGCTGCTTTGTCAAACACTTAAAACCAAAGGATGCCAAAACTGGGGTCAGCTTAAAACCTCTAGTTGTTTGAGCCAGAACATTATCAAATCTTAAGGAGCCAGTTACCTTTAGAAAATATTAATGGTTAATATTACAGAGTTAATTAATTCACTGTATTATCTGACTTTTTGAACTAATCTCTGGGTCTTTCATTGTCTTTTCTTGCTCTTTCTGTTGAGCAAACTATCCCATGACAATGAAAGAATTAAATAGCTTATTAGGAAAAGCAAACCTTTTTACATTTTTCTCATGTAAAATACAGAATTCTTTTACTTCTGCCCCCCTCGTATTGACTCTGAAAAAAGTAACAGCATTGGTACTCTGTGTTCTTTCATTTCTAATCTCAATATAATGAGAGGTGAACTGAAGTCTACAAAACTATTGCAAAACTATGGGTACTATAGTTGCTAGCTTCTTTTTGTCTTCAGCTACGAAAGAAGCATGCTGGAGAAAGGCAAGGATTTGGAAGACAAAACAAACTAAAAGATACGTAAAATTCATTCCAGATGATTCTCTGTAGCAAAAAGCAAAACAGACACATCCTGCTTGAAAGAAGAGGTAGACTCAGCTAAGCCATGGAAAATAGGAAAGACCATAAACTCCTGCCAGGCCAGAGAGCTCTCTTGCTCAGTCTCGCATATGGGGAGATTTCAACTGATGTCAGTTATCAACAGCTAAGGGAAATAGGGACTTCAAGACACTTTTCAAAGGTTGCTGCCTTTCGGGGCAAAGAGAGTAAACTCAATTAATCACAAGGCAGAACTTCTACTATACTAACTTCTAATAGGTAATAGAAAAATTTTATTCAACATTCATTAATAGTCTATTCTCCTGCATCAAGAACAATTATTTAGCATCTCTAATTATGTTTCTTAATTTAAATCTTTGCTAAATTAAGAGCCAGATTTCTTTAAAAAAAAATTCAATCTTCATGATTATACAATCAAACATCTGGACAATTTTGAGTATCAAGACTTTTCAAAACACCTTAATATTATTATTTTTCTGAGTAAGCAAAGATGTAATAAGAAAGAAAGAGAGTAATAAGAGAGTAAGAAAGAAAACTTCATAAGTATGATTTGAATCACAATCACTTCTAAATTCAAAAGTGTTAGGAAGCTAATTTATGAGCATTCTTTGCTGCCCGGCTTCTTCAAAACAGAAGGCTAAAATATTTTTAGTCGCTCACTTCAATATACACATGCAATAGCTTAGGTCTTTCTCTCTGTTGTCTTCGGCTTAAGATGGCTTCTGAGTCTTCATACTCTGGCTAAAATGTGTAACATTTGTCAACTGGACTTTTCAGAACTTAAACTATGCTAACTAAATTAATTAAACTAACTAACTAATTAAACTATGTTAAACTAACTTAAATTAAAATATGCTACCTTAGCTTTCAGAAACCATGTGAACAAGTAACCCTTGTGAGAATATTCAGATTTAAAAGCATTAACCCTTGAAGACAATGTTGTTCAGATCAGTTGACTGATATCAGTAGAATTCATTAGTGGCCATGTTTTGTGCCTAGCATTGTACGGTAATAGATTGTCTCAATATGTTACAAGAAGATAAAGCTATGATATATTCTCCCACCTAGTCAAAAAAATCCCCAGCTCTTTATCATTTTAACTACCTCTCTGTAGGTTTCCTGTGGACTGCTGCTTCCCTTATTCTGTTGTTACAGAAATACTAAGCAAACAAAGGAATGACAGCACGTCATAGAAGAACAGAGGAGAAGAATGCAGGCGATAGATTTTATCACTTTCTGCTTCACAGTAAATGATTAAAAAAAGGCAAATTTTAATCGGATTTTCTTTAACTGAAAGCAGCTTTTGAGATATTACCATTACAATTCTTAATAATACTTTATTAATTTGCTTGTTGGTAACATTCAGAAGTGTATTGTGGATTCATTGTTGGTACAATATATCTGTATAATATTTGTTCCACTTGTTATTTACATCTCTGATTATTTCTTGCATTGTATAAAAAATATTGTATGCATATAAAAGTTGCAATTGTCCAAGTTTCAATTTATAAGTTGCTATAGGTATAAAAAAAATATGAAAAAAATCTGAATTTTTTCAAAAATTCATGGAAGGATTGTGTACTGAAGGGATGTATCTAGCTTAACTTTAAACATCTGTGATGTATACATTGAGAGAATAGCTAATTAGAGAGACTGTTTTAGTTGAAAAAGATAAATTAATGCTTTTATTGTGTGATTAATCTAATCTATTTTAGCTATTTACTTTATAATGAGATGAATTTGTTATTCATCTCCATTTACAATAAAGGGAACTGTAGATGACCAGATAAGCTCCAGAAGTCAGCTGTTTTATGTCAGATAAATTTCAGCCTCAAACTCTAGTTTCTTTAGTTTCTGACAGGAATGCATCATTTTTTGATGTGAATGGCTTTGGAAAATATAATTCCACTGCTTCTCTACAATCCTCCTATACTCACCATTTTTGATCAGATATGTAACCTGTTTTACTACGGCTCAGGTTTCATTTGCAGCATCTAATCTCCTAGAATGCAAACCACAGTCTTCCTAGCTCCAAATTATCTTGGTTTCGTCTTGACCTTTTAACAGCACTCATATTTATGTGAAAAAAACACATACAGGGTACTTATAGTCCACATATTCCATAAATTTTCTCCTGTTTTTGTGTTTAGACTGTTTCAGGCTACTATGTGAAAAGACAGAGAGGTAGACAGAGAGTAAAGTTTTTCCATACGTTTATTTGCATATTTATCAACCATATATCTCCCAAACCTACCTTTGGCTACTGTTACACCTTCTGTGGGATAAAATCATAATATTTCCCTATTAATTTCATACTGAACATGATATAAAACTCACTCTGAATACCCACGTATTTTGTGTGCAATACAAATAATTTTTCTTTGCAACAAAGCTGGTGGCTGCCTCTTCAGAGACTAGAAAATGAAACTTAGTTATCATAATGTCTGTGCTGCCTTTATGATGCTGACTCATCAGCTGGCATTATCTAGTAGAGTGCTGTGGGAGTTAAAATATAAATGGAGGATAAAATAATGGAGGAAACAAAAAAAATGCAAATTGAAAATTATATTTCATGGGAAGGAATTTCACAGCACTGGAAATGGCTCTATGCTCTAAATCTGTAATAACAACTTTAAAGCCATATGCTGTGTTGAATCTGTACCTCTCACATCTTGCATTAGGGCTGAAATGTGAGATGCTGAAGGCTTGAAATTTGCCTTTTTAAAAAGTCAACATACTTCCTTAAATTATATTATCAAGGTTCACAAAAGGCTGAGTTAGCTGAATCCTTCTGGAATACAGGGACTTGTATATTTTTTGATCCCTGACTATAATTACTAAATAGTCAGTAAGAGTTTATAAAGCTCTTCTTTTATGACCAGAAAATACCCAGAGAGTAAGATCTCTGCCATTGCCTTAATAAAGTCATAAAATGATAAACAAACAATACCATGTCAGTGATAATCATGCATAAAAGGAAAATCAACCCAAAAAGAAAACAAAACAAACAACAAAACCAAAACATAGTAAAAAAGGAGTTATGAAAAGAGGGAAAGAGATTATATACAATGTGAATTACTTTGGCTCCTCTAAGAAGTCATGTGTAAAAGGAAAAAGAAGGAAGATAAGAAAAATAATGTAAAATAGTTATGGAAATAAACAAAGTAACCACAACAGGGTGCCTTGATAATGCCTTTCAATTTTTTCACTGTGATGTTGTATCAATACAAGAGTACATAAGGTCATGTTGGGATGACATATTGCAAATATGCTGTAATTCTCTGCGACTGTTAATTGACTTAATCATCTCATCAGCACTTCACTGTTATATACCACTCAATAAGGTATTCAAAGCAATGAATGTCTTCTAATATCCTTTAAAATTTCACACTCTGTGTGCTCAATTATTTTTCAGATCACTCTTTACATGACTGGTTCTGGAAGGAATTGCCTTGATGCCTGGAAAAAAAATGCAGTTCATTTCTTATTTTATAAAGCCATGAACACATGAAAAATTGGGCAAGAATTGGCAGAGCAGGAAAAAAGTACTTAAAGAGAGTTTTTTTTTTTTTTTTTTAATCATAAGAGGTAGGTCTAGGTTAATTAGAGACATTAGTTAGAAAAAAAAATAGAAATAATGGCATTAAGCATAGCACATTCTTTAAAAATCTCTTATACTTGTTTTAATTTGTATTCATGGCCCTTAGAGAAAAAAAGTATTCTTATGAAGCCCACAAATCAAAACTCTCATGATCAAATTTATCCATAAGAATTATTTGTATCCCATGAACATTTAGAAATCAAGAAGTGTTTCATTTATTTCAACAAAATAAAGTGATATGGGTCTAAGTGGTGACAGACAATGGAGCCATATGCTCAACAGAGCAAGAATAACTCAGGCAGAGTATTTCCTGCCAATGACTTACCCATTCTCTCCTTTGCAATGATCTTGGTGGGAAACAGAAGCTGAGTAACATCCAAACGAACAGATGTCTCTCAAGAAGTGGCCTTTTCTATACATAGCAGATCTACAGTTCAAGCACAGTAATCCTTCTGTGTCACAGACAAATGTGGCACCTAATCCCATTTCTTAGCATGGACGTAACAACCGGCACAACCAGGAAATATTCTCTTGTCACTAATAAATAATCTTCTTCAAAATTACATATCATTACTATTCCAGCTTCAGAATGAGAGGAAGATTTAGCATTTCCTAGCCTGCAAATATCTGTTTAAAACAGTTCTTTGCTTACATTTTCCCTTCCTAGCAGAAGACATAACTTAGCCATTGCTGCCATAAAATAGGTCTCGCTGATGCAAATGATATCAAGACCAAGTTTTATATTTTTACGCCAGCAGAGCTTTCTAAATTGATACTTAGGCTTCTGAAAAAAAAATTCCCATTTTCAAAATTATTAAAAAGCAAAATAAAAGTAAATAATTTAAGAAGTTATTAAGTCATATGGACAACATGGGTTAGATAACAGATGTACATTTAAGTGTTTATGAAAAGTCATTCTTAGAGATCTTTATAACAGTTAGGTTAATAATTTTTTGTTGTAATAGAATAGATTACTTGGCTGAGAAGATAGTGTGGTTTCTAATGACCAGATGAATTCCAGAAGGAGACACAGTGTAAGCATCATGAAAGTTTAAGGCTATATGCATAGCAGAAACAGCTTCTTTGAGTTAGACAATATATCACATGGCTGGAATACTGTTTTTTACATATGGATTGAATAAAAGAGGAGAGAAATAAAGGCTTTGGGAGACCTTCACATATTTTCTATCACAGAAACTTGATATCTATTTTCTTTTTATAACCATGAAATATTACAAATTATAATGAACCCAATTTTACAGTAGAAAATCCTTAGCAGGAAAAACTACAATGCAAATTACAGTGAAAAATCCAATTAGCTACGCTTATCCTTCAGAGTAGGTTCCTAAATCCTTTCAACAGTAGTGAAAGTGTTGTACACACATAAGTGGGAGAATTCAAATCAAAGTGTTGATTACTTTTTTTATGATCTTCAGCATTTCTGTAAATTTTATTTGGGAGGTATAGTTATAAAAGCAATTTTCTCTTCAATAGTAAATACTTCAGTGAAGCAATACTCTTACATTATGTTGCACTATTATTAGAATAGAAATGCAGCAAATCCAGGCCTGTAATCTGCCAAAGTTGGCTTTAAATATGAATGAAACTGCCAAGATATATTTAATTAACTAACTTGATGTGGATGTTTTATTTTTTCCACTTTATCATCCCCTTTATTTTTACTTATCTGAGAAACAGGATTTTGTTTTGGTTTATATACCAAAAGCTGGGGCAACTCATTATCAAATTTCCTTTGCACTGATTTGGAATTCATTCTACTATGATACATGATTAAGTGTGTACTTTTCAAAATAATCCTCCATTTTTTATGTCACAGCAACTATGACTTTTTTGCACGTGGTAATTCATTGCAATAGGAGTTCCTGTTAGACACAAACTATATTTTGAATGCAGAAATAGAAAATCTGGAAATTGCCTTGTCAAGACTCATAAATCATCTGCCACCCAAAGCGTGTAACTCACGTGCACTGTTCTCCCTCTGTGCTTTGAAACACGCTCTGTGTTTCCTAAAAAAAAGAAAAAAAAAAGCATTAGACACAGCATCCTTTTATAGAGTAGATGAAAGTTATTGAGGAAGTCATGGAAAATGAAACATCAGACATAAATAAGGACAAGGGAAACCGCAGCTGACTGAGCCAGTTGACTGTCAGGTTTAGCATCAACACACCGGGAGCTCAAGAGAATTTTCACTGACTGTACAATGAACTTTGTCACAGTTCAACCTCTGTGTGTAACACACACCTAATTATGTTTCTATGTCACTATTTTAATTACACTCCAAGTCCAATTTCTGACAGGCAGAAATTATCAGAATGTGAGAATGTGGTAAGGGCACGCTTATTTATTCTGGAAGAAACCCTTTACCACAAACTTTGAAAGACATAACAACCTTCTGTGCCAATTATCAGCCCATGCTGGAACTCTACTGTTGAAGGAGAACATTCAAGATAAAGTTATCCTCAACTGGGCTTTGGCAACGGCAAGAGCACAGTTAAGACTGAATGGTAATTATGAAAAGCATTGTGTGCCTGTGTGAAAATTCAGTTTACATTTTGATCGTTCCATATTATTCTAATTTCAATATAAATTGAATAATATAAAAAACATTAGCAATTATCATTTACTCTGTGCAGGATGCCTGCCTGCAGACAGACGGTGAAAAGCAAAGCCTTAGGAGAATATTGTGTCACAGGAACTCAGTTGGCATCTAATTTTTATCTCAGACCAATGAAAGTTTGAATTAACAACACGTAAATTGTTGTGTGATAATGTAAAACGAAAAACAACTGCTAGTAAAATAACAAGATGCTAGAGAGGCATCTCAGCCCAATTTCTTTAGGAAATTAATCTTATGTCTGCTGTTTGTATATGTGTCAGTTGTTAGGACATTGCACCTCTCTTAGCATTCCCTTGCCAGCATTAAGGAGCACAACCCAGGTGCCTGAGCCAAAGAATGAAATCAGATGCAAATGTCAAAGAAATTCTGAAGTTCTGCTGTAAACAGTACTCCACTGAATTTGTGCAGGGCTGCTCAACAAGAACACCTTACAATCACAATCATATAATTTACTGTTTTCTCCTCCCAGCCTGACCCTGCTTACCACTTTTGTTCCCTCTGAAGTAATGGCCAATCTCTGTTTGGCTTTTCCCCATTTGCCACAGTTTTATTGACTTTATATCTTGATTTCATATTCTTCATATAGTTGCTCACATAAAATCTTTATGCTTTTTTAAAGAAAAGGTAATCTGCACAGATTATCTAAATTGATTCACAGAATGTTTTTAGGACTGAGTGCAGCTGGGCTAACACATGACAAATGATGTGGTTTGTGGGAGGGGGTAGCAGTCAAGTTAAAAAGACAACTGGCTCAGCAGCTTGGTTTTGGGTATTGAGCACGTGGTGCTGAGCTGACTGGAGGAGATGGAGGTCTGCAGCTGGCAGGAAGGAAATTGCAGCATCCACCTGCTCACTGACAAATTTTTGCTACTACAAGGCAGGCTGCTATTCCCCCTGGGGGAGTCTGTCTTTAGAAAGGACTCACATTTCCCTTTGTCTGCTATCCAGAAGAGACTTCAAAAAGACAAGAATGTACAGATAAGACTTCAATGATGCTTTTCTTGGTCTGAATAAGGAATAAATCCTCAGAGTAATTTTGTTTATAGAGTAGCTGTAGATCATCTGTTATGAATCACACAATTTGACCTCTCCTATACTTAAATATGTAGTACTGTGTAGTGGGATAAGACTTTTACTCTTAAGAGAAAGATTTAGACAACTCTAGAAAGTGATTCATCCTGTTCTAAAATGAATTTCTGAAATCAGTAACATAAATAACTGTGTGGAAGCTCATTTCACTCTTAATGGAGCCTTAGGTCAGATGGCTATTTATTTAGCTAAAGTTTGTTAAGAGGAAACTCACCCAAAGAGTGTTTTCCTTATATCACTGTAATTGTGTTTATAGTAGAACTTCATATTCTAACAATACTTAAGACATAGGTAAGCATAAACTTAAACAAGAATTTGAAAGATAGAGGCTGTCAAAAGGGGTGATTAAAAGAAGGCAAATACATAGGAATAGCTAAAATATGAAAAACTTTAAACAATAGAAAAAAGGTTGTGCTTAATAATTGCAACAAAAATTAAATTACCCTTTAATGACTTGCTTATAATTTCAGCTTGATAAGAAAATAACATTTTTGAAGTGAAAAAACTAAGATGTTAAGTAGCTTACTTTTAGTTGCAAAATATAAAAGGAGCTTATATCAATACTCTTTACAAAATAAAAATAAAAATTATTTGTGTCAGGTTTTGATGCTTTCCTCATACTAGGTAGTTATTAATATTTCATTAATAATTGCATTGTGATCTTCACTTCATATTGACGGGTTCTGTCACTGTAGAGTTCATGTTAAAATACATCTTGGTGTTTATTGACAACAATGGATTAAGTCACCATCACTCCATGGTGTTGTCATAGATCAACAATACTTGAGGATTTAGCTTATCAATGAAAAAGATTTCATTGAAAAGAAACATTGGGAACATCTAGATTACAATGAAATTTTAAATCACATTTTGTGTGTGAATGTTGAAAGCTTGAAGCATATAGGGTTTTTTGAATTATTTCTTAATTGCTATTGAACATATTTTCATTACTGTACTCTCTCTGTGATGGAAAAAACCTGAATTTTTAAAATTTTCACCCTTATTTAAGCAAAAAGTACATTTAAAGCATATTTTCTACAAGATATGTGTTTCCCATATTTCAGTGAGAGCCAATTAAGTGCTCCCTTATATTCAATATATACCTTATATTAATTTGCAAATTATGATTATTACTTTTTCAGAGAAGCAGAGGATAATGTGAGATAATGTAACTGTCATTACTGATTCTAATTTTCTATTTCTTTGGCTTAAAACACATAGAGACTAATATATTTATTAAAATAGCAGTAAAACATTTATAATAATGTTGCTAATATAATAATAATAAATTTTCTCCCATTATAATTTCTTGTTGTCATTAGAGGTATTTTAAGTCACATTATTGTCAGTATTTATTTAGTATAATAAGAATATAAAAGATACTTGCAATCTGCAACAGGGCGATTTACCTTTCTAAGCCCTGCTTTATGTTAGGTGTAAATGTGTAGACATTTGTTGCATCAGATTTCTTTTTCCTTGAAAAGATTCTCCTAGAAGCTCATATTCATATTGGCTGCAAATAGCACCATCAAGGGTGTCTCTCATTTATTGATATCTGCACAGGCATTTCTCTTGAGACAAACATCTGATAAAGCAGCATCTGTTTTTCAAAGTAAGACCTTACCACATGATTTTAGTTATCCTAATTGGAGGTTTAGGAAGGAAGGGAATTAAAATATTGAATGACCATGGTATGAGAAAAAAGATATATAAGTTCTTTCTTTTATGCTGTGTTCTATCATGAAAGCTATTCTATCATATAAGTTGTGCGCAGAGCATTGCGTGCAATTTATATTGTAAACATACTACTGTTATTATTTCTTACAGTCCAAATCTGGAGTTTACTACAACATGACAATAAGATGACAGTGAATGAAGTCTGATATTGTTTTTGCTGCTGTGACGAAAAGCTCTGGTCATTAATAATGATGTATTAACATTAATAAGGATGTATTAACAGAGACTGAATCTGTGTTGAATTAATATTGTCTAGGCTCAGGTGCTCAAAGGAGTAGTGTAGTACTGATATTTAATAGCCTACATAACAGTGGGCAGTGGAAAATCTGTGCAACTAAGCACAGATCTATGCATCTAAGATCTATTTGAATTATGAGATCCATCTGAATAGTCCATACAAACTCTGTGAACTATGCAGATAAGCATTTACAGGGTTATTGATCTTATGCTCAAGCATCAATAGGCCATGAATATCCCACTTTACATAAGGCTTGTGCCCCTGAGAAAAATTCTCTTGATCATTTGGCTGCGTTGATGCAACCTTCTCATTGTTGCAATGAATACAATTTTGAAGTACATAGGTGGTCAGGTTTTTTTTCGATAAGTATGGAGTGTAAACTTACAGATTCAGAAAATATGGCACAAAAGGCCAAGTTTTTCTAAATTGGGTTTGAATTGCCAGGTTTTGGAAGTGTGAAGGCTACAGGGGTGGCTTCTGTGGGAAAGTGCCCCATGTCTGACATAGTCACTGCCAGCCAGCTCCCAGACGGACACCACGCTGCAGCAGGGGGAGAGTTTGAAGAGAACATGTGATGTACTGACCTCAGACCATATTTCCCACTCTCCTGTTCCACTGAGGGGAAGTGATAGAGAAATCAGGAGTGCAACTCAGCCTGGGAAGGAGGGAGAGGTGGAGTGAAGGTGTTTTAGTTTTCACTACTCTGATTTGATTGGCAATAAAGTAAAGTGATTTCCCCAAACTGAGTCCATTTTTCCCCATGTTGGTAATAAGTGAGTGATCTTTGCCTGTCCTGTTCTCAACCTGCAAGCCTTTTATTTTATTTTCCCTTCCCTGTACAGCTGACTAAGAGCAGCTTTGATGGGTGACTGACATCCAGGTAGGGCCAAGCAAACAGTTTCTCTGCAACAATCTGTGGATTAGTTTTTTAACCCAGAATACTTGGTTAAAACAAAGATATAATTGTAAATTTTCCCCTATAATTAAAAGTGCATAAGTGGTACAATATTACTGGGAGGAAAGATAATTTTTGTTAATAAAGCACAGATAAACCAAAGCAACCAAACTAGTGTTACTCCACCACCATTCCTTATCTAGTTTTCTTTTATATTTCTGTTTACAATTGTCTTTCTTAATCTTCACTAATCTTTTTCACAGCTTCTATATTAAAAGAAGGAAAGATTGGCCTATTGATGAAACCCCCAAATTATTTAATGTATTATTTCATTGAAAAGAAAAACAGGAGCAGATTCCTGATAATTCCTCTAAGTATTATTATATATTGTGTTCCGAGATATTTGACCTTTCATGTGTATAAGCTATATTCAGACTTCAAATTATCAATAGAATAGTTGCTTTCATTTTAGTTTCTGGTTTTCTTTAATTAATAGAAAGGATTAAAAAATTAGTAAAAATAAATTCTGGTACATTTAATAGCAAGCCTTTTCTAGACAGAGTCCATAGATTCATCTACATCTGACAAAGCACCATTTCTCCAATCTATTCAAGAAAAGGGACTTTTTTGAAATAAAGTATAACTTCTGCACAATCACTTCATTTAAAAAATCCTAACATTTTCTCACTTGTTTCTTCTTCAATTATGTTTTGATGTTCATTGACTGTTTATCTAAAGATGTTTTTAATTCCTGAAGCCTCATTTTATCCCTTAGCTTCTTAATGGATTTTGAATAAGTCCTTATGCTTTTCCACTTAAAATTTGCTGTGATTATGCAAAACTTCACCTGTTCATGTTACATTTTGTCTAGTAGCAGACTTTCAGAAGAGATTGGAAAATTGCTCCACTGAGGACCTCACATCTTTCCCTCTATTTTTCTACTGATAAAGGTGTTAGTAAATTATTGTTCTGCACACATACTTGTCTGAAAGGCTTGTTTATTCTTCTGTGTTGGTTCAATTAAGGTATTAAGTCAAGCAGTGAATGTAGAACAAGAATTTAAGTCTTCTTTTTCTGAAAGCGACAACTAGTTACTCCTTGTATGAATAATCACCAGCATACTTTTTCTTTTCAGCCTCAGTATTTTTCACGTCTGAAGTCAATGCAGTGAAATTGCTCATGCTGAGATTAGGATTGTTGTTTTTGTGCTTCCATCTCTACTTAGCAGAGGAGAAAGCCACACTTGGCAATGTTTTGAAGATGTGATATCACCTGTAGGATTTAAAAGCTTTTTAATGCAGAGCAATGGGAATATTTTCTAATGAATAGTTAATGTATATGCATGTTTTTAGAGGGTGGGTGGATTTGTTGTTTTGTTTGTTTGATTAATTTATTTCCTTTGGCTGTGAATTAATAAAGTCTCATGGTGATTGGTGTCAGTTGTATCCTTACAGGTCAATATATTGTATGTGGCTGGTAGGTGGCTTAAATGCTTAAAATCAAGAGTTTTGGAAACTGCATGATTTAAAAAAATGCCAACTAAATAAGACCAGACGCTTTTAGACAACAGGGCACTTAGATGTGACAAAGTCGTAGTTAAAAGCTTTTTTTCTCTCATTATTATTTGTGGAGGAATTTTTTTTTTTTGAGTGGTATTTCCCCAGAGAAAAATGTTTTCTTTTTCATACTCTTTATGTTATGACTTTGCTTTTTGAATGTGAAGTTTTTTAGAATGTGAAGTTTTTTTGAATGTGAAGTTGAATCAATACAGTATCTCATCTTCTGTCTTCCAACAGCCTGTGGAAATCCAATCTGAAATTCATTTAACCATTTTTGGTCCTCTGGCAATATTCTTACCTTTTTCAACTCCTGTATAAGTGGCGCTCATCACAAAGGACCCAATTTATGCAGCTGTCCAAGTTGTCAAGAGCAGTGGTAGATGCCCCATTGCTGGAAGCATTGAAGGTCAGGTTGCATCAGGCCTCAGAAAATTAACCTGGTTGAAGACATTGCTTTTCATTGTGGGGGTAGGGGTTGGAGTAGATTACATTTTAACTTCCAACCCAAGATATTCCATGGTTCAGTGTTTATTTTGGTCTGTTCTTCATCAACACTGAACAGATACTAATGATATACCTCATCACATTCTGCTTAGCATCCTATTTTATTTATATGTTGCTTCATGTCTTTTTCACAGCTAATCAAAATTTCTGTGATAGGTTTAGTTTTATGTAGTTGAGACGTTTTGGCTCACAGATTAAAATCCATTTTTCTTTGTCTTATCGAAAATACACTAATTATATGTTTCTAAATAATGATTTGTTATTTCCTCAAGTCATTGCTTCTTGTGCCTTGGTCATGTCCTCCTAATCTCACTTTGCAAGTATTTCAGGTCTTGCCCATGTAGTCAAAATGCAAATGCTTAAGAATAAATGGGAAAGAGTTTAATAAAAGATCTCCAGCTGCTATTAAGCAGCTATTTAGCTATTTAATATTTAATATTTAGCTATTAAGAATAGCTAAATATCAGTCTTTGGTGATGATTAATAAAAGTCTAAAAATTGCTGTTTTATTCACAACAGTTTACAGTCTCAGGAAATTCAAGATTACCAAACAGATGCTGGAGTGAAAAATATTATGGTAATCCATCCTACCCCAGAGGTTCGTCTTTATGGATTTTACAGTTTTTATAACTAATTTTCAATTAGAATTTGAATTTTGTTATCTCTTGTTTTATGTTTGCCTCTCCCAAGAAGTACCTTTACCTAAATGGTTGCTGTAGTAATACTCTGAAATGAATAGTCTATGCCCTCATCTTGCTTAAACATGAGACAAGTTAGTAGTTCAAAATGTGATATATAGCACTGCCCTGGAATGGAGCATTCATTGATTGAGCTCTGATAAATCCACCAGGATCTGTGCTGGACTGGGTAAGGATACCATCTGGTCCCAGCATTTGGTACTTTGTGTTCCTGCTTAAACATTGATGTTGAAAACATAATGAAGTGTCATAATGAAGTGTCCTAACCTTTCTGTGTTCTCTTTTTTTTCATGGAGTTTGATCTTCTTTACTGAGAGTGACTCTACTTTTACCTCTCTGCCAATAACAGCCTTGATAAGTATTACTTTTTCCCTCTCTTTTAATATAGCATGCTCTTTTATTTTTTCCAAAGGCAATAAATATTCCTTATTATTTTTATGTGACTGTTATAAGATGACAGACTGGTTTGGGCTGGGACAGAGTTCATTTTCTTCAGAGTAGCTATGGGACTCTGGTTTGTATTTGTGCTGAGAACTGTGTTGATAACAGTGTTTGATTGCTGCTGAGCAGTGCATACAGATCACCAAGGCCTTTTCTGCCCCACACACCACTCCACCAGTGAGAAGGCTGAGGGTGCACAAGAATTTGGGTGGGGGCACAGCTGGGACAGCAGTCCCCAAGTGACCCAAGGGATATTCTCTACCATATGGCTTCATGCTCAGCAATAAAAGCTGGGGGAAAATGAGGGATGTTGGCAGTTACAGTGCCTGCCTTCTTAAGTCACCATGAGGGTGCCCTGCCTTCCTGCAGATGCCTGAACTCCTGCCTGCCCTTGGGAAGCGGTGAATGAATTCCTTGTTTTGCTTTGCTTCTCTGTGAGACCTTTTGCATTACATACTACTTTGTCTTTATCTCAGCCCATCAGTTTTCTTATTTTTGCCCTTCTGGTTCTCCTCTTGATCTCCATGGGGTGAGGCAGTGGTAAGCAGACAACTGCATGGTGCATGGCTGCCAGCTGTTAACCCACAAGCAGTGATTAACTCTGATACATTCAGTGCATTTCTTTCAAGTTTTTGCTTCTCTTTTATAATTATTCTTTTATACTTTTTCTTATAATTTCTTCTCTGAAACCTGTTTTATATCAATGTAATTTATTTTTTGTATTTTGTTATGCTATGTTATACATTGGGTTTTTTTCCCTTGAAATTTGATAGATGATACGGCATCATGATTTGTATCAGATCTAGTAACTATCCAAGGGGTTGTACTCACTATAAAGTTATACCACATAGATTTAGTAGTCAATAATTCCTGACTAGTTATTTCTGTCTCAATATTTCTTATTTTCTCTCTGAATTGTTCTAGAATCACTGTCATCTCTTCAAAGATTCTGGGAAAAACACTGCTTTTTAATTTCAAAGTACTTATCCATACACTATATGGGGTTGTTTTGAGAGAAAACTGGAAGTTCACAGTCTGTGAACACAGTCATTGCCTGGGGCAGAATTTTCAGAGTAGATTGATTGCTTGAGTTTTAATTTTCTTGCTTTTCCTTTTCCTAAGTATATTACCATATTTCTGTTTTTTTCTTTTTGCCTGTATTGGTATTCCTATGTTTGCATGAATCCATCTATTAAGTGTGGGAATTGGTTTGTTATATTTCAATCAAAATAAGATAGCTAGAAAAAAAACCTTAGTTTTCATTTATCACCATCAAGATGATCATGATGATGCTTGCTATCTGTTTGAATACAGAGCATAAATGAAAAGACATTCTACCTTTCAATCCATCTCACTAACTGTATTAATGATTGTGTTGTGTTTCTAAGTGATCTCTGTAGGGTGTCTATTATGCATCATAAGATGATACCTGAAAAGATAAAAACCAAAGAAAAGGAAAAAAACACCAAACATTTGAACAAAAATGAAGAAAAATAATGTAAAATGGGGAAAACAAAAGAAATAAATGATTACTTCAAGCTTAGGATAATTTTTATTGTCTTTTAAATAGAAGCAACCAAAATTCAGAAGATTGTTCTTGAATTTTTTTTCTTCAGAAGTAGGATGACCTCTTTAAGATTTAAAAAGCATGATATATTTGGAATATCATCCATTGTATATTTTTACAGTGAAAAGGAAACTAAGAAACTGGTGACTCTCAAAAATCATTACAAATTTTTTTAAAATCAAAGTGATCCCTATAAGTTCAATAAGGTTGTTCTTAAAACTAAAAGTTTGAAGAATATGGGGATAAAACTCATAGCTAATTATACTATATAGCAAACTTTAGGTAATAGGAAAGGTATTTATAACCAGCATAGAGTATTGGAAGAAGAAAGATGAATAAAAATTTGGTAAATGTGGCAATGAGACTGAAGAGCAAAGGGTAGGGCTACAATGGATCCTAGAGACAAGAGAAGATTTGAACCTCTTTTTAATGAAAAAGAACCTGCCAGGAAGAAGCTGAAGGTAGAGCAGGATATGGGAGTGGACATGCACAGGAGAGGAATAGAAAAGCTAGGTGAGCCTGGTTTGTAGGTCTGAGTCCATGTTTATATCACCACTACAGATTAATATCTAAACAGAAGGAATGGAAATCTTGCAAGAAAAAACAAACTCAGATTTTACCACATTTGGCTTAAACTGAGGAAAGAACAGTATCATGTTTTCTAATCAAAACAATGTAAGGACCCCAAAGGCTACGGAGTAGTCATATGGGAGTACCGAATGTAAAGAAAAGGGTATGGGTTGTCTGTTTCATGAGGTGGAGTTCACCTTTTCATTATGCTAATATATTGTGACTAATACATTTGCCAATGACAGGGGGCATAACTCTGTCACAGAATCAATATATCTATTTGAAATTAAATTAATTTGAATTTAAAGCTCTATGTTTATATTAGTTTAAATAAAAAGTGTTACATTTATTTCAAATATATTTGAGATAATAAAAATGTTTCTTATAGTCTGTGGTAAAGTCATTAAAGAACATTCTTACAGTTACTGCCCAGTGATTTTATGGAAAATTCAAAATAGGCTAATTTCTTCCTTTATATCTTTGCTCTAAAAGTACATCAATTTCACTTGTGGTACAGTTTTCACCTTTTGCTACAACCATAAGACATTGAAATACTGTAACAGAATATCAATATATCAGTACTTATGTACTCATGCATGAGTGTAATGTTTTACAAACATTTATTTGAGTTTTCTACATTGTCTGTAAAGCTTAGATGATGTACAAGGATTTGTTTTCCCACTAAAAATCTGATCAGAAGTAGCAAAAATCTTCAAGACAAATAGATGGCAGTTTCCTTGATTTAGTGAAATTTTTTTATTTTCATTCATTCTCCCTAAAAAGAAGTTTACCAGGTTACCATAGTGGTTCCTTGAACAGCTTCCCTGTCTCACAGGGCACAGCTCAGCATTCCAGAAGAAAAGTCTGACAGGTCAGCACAGTCCTTTCTAGCCTTGTGGTGCTCAGTCCAGGAACAGGGTTTTGGGTTCACTTAGGGTGTCTTTGGTTCTTTCTCTATTCATCAGTTCCCAGGGCAATTCTCTCCCTCAACTCTGCTCTGATGAAACCCCACCCTGAGTCCTATGTCCAAATCTGGGGCTTTGAATGGAAGGATTTGGACCTTTTGAAACAAGCCAAGAGGAGAACCACCAAGATGTTCCCAGGGCTGGAGCTCCTGTCCTGTGAAGACAGACTAAGAAAATTGGGTTACTCAGACTGAAGTAGAGGAGTGTCTGGGGAGATAGAGCAACCTTCCAGCACCTAATGATGGCTACAAGAGAGAGCTGGAAAAGGACTTTTCACAAGAACATGCAATGAATTCCTAAATGTAAGAACATATTCTACTAGAGCTTATCTTCAGCCTTTTGTCATGGAAACCTGGGTTTATTACACACACAGGACTGCAGTTTTTAAAGTTATTGCTCATATTAATATCATCACACTTATTTTGTTATTCAATATATTTTTCACTACAATCATACAATATCTCACATTGAATGGCTGCATTACAGCTCAATGTTCTGGCATGAAATATACTTCAAAATATTCCATATAAATAATGAGAAGACAAAGGCAGTGAACTCAGCAAAACATTTGAAAGCTCTGAAGTTTAGTTTTTTCTGTAGAGATTTCAGATTCTGATAGGCAATTTTTTTTCTTATTCTCCATTTTTGGTAATTTCACATAAAAGGATCACTATGACATAAATCATAAAAATTTTGGGGATTCAAATCTGCCTATAGAATGTGCTCTCAAAATGATGTTTCTTTATTCAAGGAGGATACATTTCAGTTCCGTTTTGCATAAAAATAGCTGTATTACTTGAAGATATGAAGAAGAAATGAAAAAAACTTACCATACAATAACAGTGAAGGGTGTACAAAGATAAATTCAAGGCTGTAGTTATTTGTTTGCAGTAAGTATATTGGTTTTGTGCCTTTTGTTGTTTTTTTTTTTCTTATTTTAGTTCGTGTTCAATGTTTACTTTCAATTATTGCTGCCTACAGAAGACCAGCTTATCCCTGCCAGTAACTTTACTGGAACAAATTGAATAATCAGTTTGAAGGGAAAGAAATTGTTAGACCAAACCTGTTTTCATCTTTGGAGGCTTCAGAGAAATGAGCTAGAGTTTAAAAATCGGCAAAATAAGATTAAAATCTGCTGTGATAACATTTGGAATCTATCTAGATGAAGAGATATGTTTTTCTTCTGTATTAATGAGCTATGTAACTGTCAAACAACAACTGACTTGTGCTAAAAGACCTGAAAAATCAATCAGGCATAGAAAATAAGTGATATGCCCAAATTACAAAGGAAAGCAGTGATAGGGATCCTGAATCCAAACCTTCTGCCCAGTGCAATGCCTTACTTGAATATATTAACTAAGATGACAGTTGTGCCTAGTATCTTCACTTTAGTACTGTTCTTCCTGTCTTCATGCATTTGCTGTCATGAATAATTCCTTTTTGTTGTAATATATAAAAAAAAAATAGAAATATATATGGGCAAATATATAAATATAATATAGGCAAAAATGTATCTGATCATAATTGAATAGACCATGCTCTATTATTTTTCTACCCATACATTTCTGGCGTCTACTAATTAAGTGCAAATAAGTAAAACTATATGAATGTTTTCAATACAAAAAGCATGGTTCTCTATTTATTTTATTTTATTAATATGTCTATAAAAATTAATATTTCTTGCATTTCGGTGGATCTTTTTTGAATTTGATTACTTTAGGTCACAGTTTCTTTGAGGCAAGTTGAAAATTAACACTAATTATTACTTGTATCTATGATTAGTGGTTTTGTACAATGTTTATAAAGTCAGATCTGATTATATTGAGGTCATGGCAATACATAGTGTCATAAAGGGATCATGAAACTAAGTTAAATGTAACTGGTTTGTTTCATTGCATTAAGGTACTGCAACACAGGAAAAAAATACTTTTGGCAACGGAAAGTGAAGTTCTTTGCCGGCATTAATCAAATTTTGTTTGCAACTTGTCTAAACTAGCATCCTTGAATAGAGTACTAACAGTCTATCTTTTTTATTGACAGTGTTTTCTCAATAAATTAAAGTTATATAACATCCAAAATTATGTGGAATTATTTGCTGTAGCCTGTTGAATTACAGCTCTCCTATTTGGCATAGCTTATTAAAGATTAATAGTAAAGGCATTCTCTCTTTTTAGGCTTCAGTTCAGTAGTTAAATCATGCCAACCAAAAAGTGGTTTTAAGTAGAGGTAGCATACCACTTCACATATATTTTTAGTTCAGAGTGTGTTCTTGAATGAAAGGTGAATTAATTATTCATATGAACCTGATGTGAGATTACTTCTATTTTCTATCATGGAGATGAACTAGTTTATGACTTGTAATGCCAGTTTCATTTAGTCTGTGATTTCCCTGCTTGTCTATTTTCTTTTCACTCACTATTGCAAGGTTTATTCTCAAACAAATTTGTGATTCATGAAGGCCAAGACTATGAGAGTACAAATTCCTCCAAGTACCATTTAACTCAGATTACATAAATATACATATATACAAATCCACACACACACATATATGTAAATATATCTATTTACATTTATATGGCTATATGCAGAAAGTTCCTGAAATGTTAGCTATTGATTCAGAACCTGGATTATGTTTAAAGTGCAGCAATATACAGGCAGCTGACTCATCACAGTTGCTCAAAATTAATGGTTGTTTCTAATTAAGTATCTGCTAACTATCTAATCCAGATATTGTGTTTACTGGAATACAATGGCTCTTGTCTCAGCTTTAAAGTTCTAATGAAGAAGAATATAAAAAACTCCCCTATTTCTCTGAATTGCAACTTCAGCAATTAATACATTTAATTCCCATCGTTTGAGTGACTCTTCTCATTCCAGTCTCCCTGATTAAATGTTTGGAATGTGTAGACTGAGATCACATTGGATTTCCAGTTACTTATCCCCACCATACCTTGTCAGCTGATATTATCTAACCTACATGATCAGTAGATCAGTTCTGGAACTGTGGACTTGAGGGAGGAGACTTCTTGGGTTCACCTCATCAAATGTTTTAAAATAATATAATATATGCATAAATTCTTAAAAATATGTGATAATTTTGCATGGAACTACATAAGATTTTTCATTCAGAGCTCAAAGATGGTGTCTGGTCTGGACCACAGTGTTTTCTTTGAATGGCCAACATTCAGAAAGGTGCAAGGAAAGAAGACAGAGAAACATGTAAGTGTTGAAAAAAAATCAGATGCAAAAATACTCAAACCCAGAGACATTATTATGTCTAAAACCTCTAAAAATTAGCTATTTCCATAATTTCCATAATGACTGTAGGCAAATATGGCTATGGGTATCATGTGGAAAGGAAAATTGTTCATTGCACCCTTTGAAGATTGAAAAGGTGATTGATTTAGGCTATATACTCTTGAAAAGTAGAAGATATCTTCAGGTTGAACCAGTTTCTTTCAGTGTTTTCTGCTCTATCACATCCTAGTCTTTGTGAGACTTTGAATGACTGTACTCTGTCTCTCCTCATAATACAAACACTAGTCAAAATAATCTAGTATTCACACGTGGGGTGCAGGTTAGAAACAAAGCAACATCATAGCTGGTAGTATAGAAATAGCTGAGTAAGCAGCAATAACAAAATAAAAGTCCTGCAAAATGCAGCCATGTTGGAAAGTATAGAAAATACTACATTGCTGTATGTTCTTTTGTGGTAATGGCTTCCAGATTCATTATTTCCTTTACTAATTCTGACACCTACCTGCAACCTCTGTTGTCAACCTACTTTTTGCAATTTACTTTGAACCTTCAAAACTGAATTTTGGCAATTGTTATTCTTTACTACCGAAATCCCCTTTCCTATTGTAAGTTGCCGCTGAGCTAGAGGGACACAGGAAGTTACTGTTCCAAGCCCCACCCAACATGATCTGGAACACTTCAAATGAAGGGACACCCGCAACATCTCTGGGCAACCTAATAGTTTTTGTATGTCCAAACTACAGCTACTCTCTTTCAGTTTAAAAGTATTGTCCCTTGTTCTGCCACTGCAGACTTAGAAAACTGTTCTAAGTGCTGACAGGTTGCAACAAGCTTACTCCAGAATCCTCTCCAGGCATCTCCCTCTCTTCTGCCTTTCTAATTGGAAAAGTGTTCCAGCTGTCTGGACACTTTTGTGCCCCTCCTCTGACCCATTCTAATAGGCCTATTAGAAGTCAGAGTGAAAACAGTACTCCATGTGGGGATCCCAGAGTGAAAAAACTACTCCACATGGGAATCCCAGAGTGAAAACAGTACTCCACGTGGGGACTCATCAAAATGGAACATAGGGGATAAAATCAGCTGTCTTGACCTGCTGGTCACTCTTCTCACGATGCAGCCCATGAAACAATCGGCAGCCCATGTTTGTTTCCTGGGCTGCAAATGTACATTTTTTACTCATCTATCTGTATACCCAAATTTTTCTCTGCAGGCTCACTACCAGTCCATTCATTCTCCAGTCTGTATTAGTTTTGGACACTGGCCCAGTCTAGGTGCAGGATTTTGCACTTCACCTTGCTGAACTCCATGAGTTTTCACACAGACTCATTTCTCAAACATGTCAAGATCCCTTTGCTATCCTTTCCCTTAAGTGAATGAACTGCACCACTCAGCTTGGTGTCATCAGCAAACTTGCTGAGTGCACTCAATCCCTCTGTCACTGCTGAAGGTATTAAGTACCTTCAGCAGTTCAGCACCCTTGAAAGACACCACTCCTTATATGTTTTGGCTTCATCATTGAGTCATTGACTATAACTCTTTGCATGTGACCACCCAGCCAACTCCTTACTCACATAACAGTTCATCCATCAAACCAACAGCTCTCCAATTTAGTGGCAAGAATGCTGTGGGAGATTATATCAAAGGCCTTACTGTAGAAGGCCACCAGATTAATCAGTCACCATTTTCTCTGGTGTAGCCATGTTGGCTGTCACTAACCACCTCCCTTTCTTCCATGTGTGTTGACATATTTTCCAGGAGGATCTGCTCCATGTTCTTACTGGGCGCTGAGATTAGGATGACTGGTCAGCAGTTCGCAGGATCCTCCCTTTTAAACTTATTGAAAAGTAGTGCTGTATTTCCTCTTCTCCAGTCACTTAAAAAAAGGTCTGTTTTGGTTCTTCCTATATGAACCCTAATTTTTTTTTATTAAATGCAGGTTTTATGTACAGGGAAAATACATGGTGATAGCAAAGGTATAACTCTGAATATTCATCTAGTGCAAAAATAAGTTCAGCTGAGTTTGACAGGATTTAAAGCCTACGTAGCCTAAGAAAGCAGCTAGAAAACCAACAGCAGTGACCGCCTGATGGAGAGAGAACATAAAAAGTAGATAAGGTACTCTTACATTTTTATATCCCAAACAAGATATGCAGATACTTCAGTCTGCAGACTGTTATAATTGTCTGAAAATTTCAAACCTGTTGCTGTCACAAGATGTACATGATGCTTGCAATACTCTTTACTGAATATTAGGAGAAAGGTATTAATATGAGACTAATTAAGTGATAAAGGTTCCTGGATAAGAGTAAGAAATTGACATTATTTTTTAATACACACTTTTTTCACAATTATGACTCAGTTAATAGCTAACTGGCATAAAATTAAATATGCTTCGGTGGTCCCAATACTAAAAGTAAGTGAGAAATTGCCTTTAGAGGGAAACTAGGGAGAAAAGTCCACAAACCAAACAACCTTTCTGATATAACCATCTAACAATTAGCATCATTAAATCAATTACATTATTGTAGGAGACTGTAAAAGTGATTACTATTTCTTGTGTTAAAAGGGTAAAAATTATGAAAAAAAACTCAACTTGTTTTGATTGAAGCAATATGCTGTGCTATCAGATATAAGCACTTCCGGCACGGTGTGGAGAAGAAAAGACAATAAATTAAAAACCAGAAAAGAGAGGAAGTACATTCAGAAACAATGAAGTGAAGAAGAATATAAATTACTTCCTGAGATTTTCTCCTTCTTCCTAATCTTAAAGAAATAGAGTAGGAAGATGAAAACTGTTTGTAAATGTGATACATATTTCTGCAGAAAACATAGACTGAATTTCAGCTAGTTTCTCTAGGTGCAACAAATTCAAAACTTCTTCTCTTACATTGTTTTGCTCTTATTATGGAGAGGCTCCTCTCGGGGGTCAAAAAATATCCCTAATCTGAGGGAACATTTTCATTCATCAGCAAGATACAGATATTAAAAGTGCAAATGTAACTTATGAAAGCCTACATATAGTGGCTTTTCCTTGCAATAGATGTATTTTCATTATTGAAACAAGTGTTTAGTGTGTTCAAGGAAATTATCATAGTTTTATTTTCTCTGTTTTTTCAGTATGAAATGAATGTAAAACACATGTGGCCTTTCATCATTATCTTCCTCCTTAAGAAAATGATAAACTCAGGAAATATTCAGTTTCTGTCTTTTATTTTAGCCATTCTAACTGAGTTGTAGAGTTTTAAAAACTGTGTTTTTGAAGAAATATACATATTTTCATTATCTAGACTTTCAGTTGTATAATTAAAAATAACCAACCAGCCAAAATATTTATGTTATATAATCACTGGTTTGGTATTGCATGTGTGAACAGATTTTGGAGCCCATGTGAGGCTTTTTAATAGGAAGTGAATGACTGCAATGCTAAACCCTGTTTGTAAAGGGCACAGTCTCATGACCAAATAAAATTCTGTGTTTCATTCAGCAAATCAATAAACATAAAGTTCCCTGGCTCAATTACTTGTATTTCTCCAGACGTTATAGCAATGTCAGGAAATAGAAAAAGAATATGGTCTAATGTTTGCTTTAAAGTATTGAATTTTCCGTCTGATGGAGTTTGAAGCTATATATAGGCAAGTTTATGTTATGTTCCAGAGAGCAAAACTATGAAGGAGAAGGATATTGATATTACTGATAAATAGGTAAATACACAAACACACATACATAGCAGAGCATTGAATGTGTCAGTCACTGTCTGTTTTGAGGTTACATATCATGTGTTCTGTGTAATAGGAACTAAATGTGTGAGTGACATGAATACTTGTGTCTGCCCTTAACTCAGGCTATGGAAAGACTTGAAGCTATCTGTCAGGAGAAATAGATCTAGTGAAAAATTAGATCTAGATGCTAATGAAAAAGGGCCAGAGAAGACTACTTAATGCACAACAGCAAAATTGGCTGTAGAAAAAAAACCCCAAACCTGCTGTTCTCTTCCATACAGATGCTTCAAGCTTTATTCAAGATAAGCAACACTTGCTTACCTAAGTGAGTGTAATAAAGTATATTCAGTGCAGGGCCTTGAAAGCAACAGTCTTGGAAAATGAAGCGTAGTAGAGTGTTAAAGGTTTGCCATTAAGGGGTTTGGAAAAAGATGCGAATAGTAAAAGTCAGCAGGCAAGGAAAAAATCTGCAGTTGGATGCAGCTTTATAGATAGATTACCAAGATGGTCTGAACAGCTGGCAGCAAGGATTGTTTCTGCTGGGAGAATGACT